GAGGGTAGAGAGAAATCTGTCATTTATTAGCTATGCATTTAAAAAATAGTTCCAATGGACGCATCTTATCATATTATACCATAGGGTTTGGTCGGTTTCCAGGAGGAGTGATCGAATGAGGGCAAAAATCAAAACCCAAAATAAATCCCTGGACGAAAAATCCATAAAAACTCTCATGCCGAATTTCCGAGCCTTAAAAATTTCCATAACGCATTAAATGATATAACAAGCCTGCGAAAACATCCGTTTCTCCTCGCTCTTCGTCGCTGAGGACGTTTCGCGCGGAAACGTCCTCAGCGACGAAGAGCGAGGAGAAACGGATGTTTTCGCAGGCTATGATATAACAAGGAAAATAAAAACATTAGAAATTGAATGTTTGTGTTTTTTTATTGACATCATACTATCGGAAGTTATCTTTTCAGCATCTCAGTGGTAGACATAATATAACAAATCTTCGCGGGAACTACTTCGAATTTTTCAGATTGTTTTGAATACCCGAAAAAATCAAAAAAAATCTCTACTTAAATCAAGCCACCAAAAGAAGTACTTGCCAAATTTTCCAACCTAAAAAATCACGGAATCGACAATTTCAAACCCAAGAAAATCCTGCGCGATTATTCCCGTCACTCGAAATCCGGAGTCATAACGTCAATTCACATCACATCACATCCAACCCCATCCCATCACATTTCATATCACATCACATCACATCTTATCAGAGCGCATTCCACCTTATTGCATCACATTTCATCCCATCCCAATCACATCACAGCACACCACACCACATCTCATCACATCCCATCACTTCACATCCCATCCCATCACATCACATCCCATCCCATCACATTCCATCACATCCCATCACATCCCATCCCATCACATAACATCACATTCCATCCCATCCCCATCACATCACATCGCATCACATCCTTTTCAGGGTAAGAGGTACCAGGGGGGAGATACAGACTCTTTCTCCTACAATTATTTGACTCCTTCGACTTTTATGCTTAATGGTGTTCTATTGGCATAAATCGTTTTCGGATTCAGGTTGGGATGCTTTGTGTTTTATTGCCGACAAAGTCATTTTCGCTTGATTTGGTCACAAACAAGTTTTACAGGGTCCACGATTACTAGCATCTGTTCACTTGTTTTTACTTTAGTGACAATTTCAGTATTACCCCAGATTCCTCCTGCACTTTGGTCAGAAGCCCGTAGCCTCTAGGAAGGCCGTAAACTCGTCGGATCTCCCTAGTGCCAAGGCGCCAT